TATGTATATATTTCACTATTTGAATGAATAGAATTATATAAAAGTTTGTAACCAAACTTGAATTCTGGTATCTGGAAAAAATTGAAATACTCACTTTTCAAAGATACTCAAAGTTGATTAATCAGCACACTCGACTTAGATCTATACTTTTACAAAAATTATTCATGTACTTTGATCACAATACACTTTATTAACTATTAACTGAGAACGTTTTTTGTTCAGTGCTTCTCCTGAATCATCCTATCTTGACTAATTTGCTATTTACATCCTAGTTCAAAGGATGCATTATTTTTTGCTTGATTTAAGACTATGGTTGATGGCTCTACATGCTCTATTCTCACAGTATACTATCCAGATAAAAGAATATCTTTATTCTGAGTTTATATTTATGACTCATGTTTATTAAAAATATGGTGACAAGATTAGATCCAAATGTGAGCTCATAGATACTTAAATATCAGAATTTAGATATGTTATGACATTTATAAAAATTTATGAAATTTATATAATATATATATAAATGATGTTCAATGTAATACTATATAATATATAATACAACTGATATTATTGCACTATATATGCTATATGAGTTATGTACAATATAACTTATATAGCATATACCAACATCACAATATTATTTTTTTTATAACAACATTATAATAAAATAGCATGAATATTATAAAAGTGTTACTGTAATATTAAAATATTCGCCAAAATAAATCATAGTAATGATATTCATTAATATAATGCAATGAAGAACTGCGTGATGTACTGAAATCATTGTGGATATATACGAAATATATGTCAATCTTTTTTTCATGTAGCACAGAAAATATATTGCAAATAATTACATTGAAACATTACAATATCGCAAATTGACTGTTGCATCATTGTTGCACCATTGCTATAAGAGTGCGGCAATATCCACTTTTTGTAATATTGCAATGAAATATCACACAGTAACATTGTAAAATAATATTCTTTGTAAAAATAAAATCAATGGAATTAAGTAATCTATGATATCTATAAGTAGAAAATAATGTTATTGTAAAGTAAAAAAATATAAAATTTTTTACAAGAGAATGTTAAAATATTTTCTTTATCTATATTCAGTGTAAAATAATTACTAAGATTTTTATCCAAGAATTTCAACTAGCTCTAGATTAGGATTATTTTGATTTTGCTTTTAAACTGATACTATTAACCGTTTCCTATTCTGAATAGGTTTGTTCTTCTTATTTACACGAGAAGTGTAAACTATACACTTTACACTTTATACTTTACACCCTTCAGGTACAATGAGGAGCATTAGTCCCGGTGTACAATAGGTGATTTAAGTCTTAAGCCATAAGAAATTGACTAATCATAGTCGATTATTCTCCTATTCGTCGATTATGATCGAACGATTATGATTTGTCCATTTCTTATGGCTTAAGATTTAAATCACTTATTGTAGACCTTAGATGTATCTAAAGTCGACTGTTAAAAGTAAAAATATATGTAATTTATAAAAAAAATTGTTTAGTATTTTTCCTTCTTAATTAACTACATTTTTATATCTCTTGCATTCATAATAATGTAATATATTCATATGTTAGAAATAAAGAACAATTTTATAAGAAAACATAATTAACACACATAATTAAGGCTTACAAAAAATAAATCTTACGTAGTGATAAAAAGGCTGCGTTCCGATATTCATTGCCAATACTGAAAATCTATAATATACGTGACCTAAATTATATATTTTTAGTACTGGCAGTGAATATCGGAACACAATCAAAGTGATATCTTGCTTATCAGATGCGACATGCAACACTCACTCAATTCGACATGCGCACCCATGGTGTGAGGAGACAGCGCGCTGCATAAAAGCTCAAGCTCCGATTGGTCAAGATGTCAGACCTCCGCCATTATGCGCAGTGGTTCACCTTTCTTCTTACACCATGACACCATGTGCGCACCTCTAACGGCTCTAGTCAACACGACTGAAATGAGGGAGACGAGATGAACCTCTCTTTTTAAAATGGCCACTCATGGTGTCACGCGAGGGTATGTTACATCGTACTCACAATAGGTTCGCGTCGATTTTGCAAATGTAAGAATTTTGTGAGTGTTGACAACATTACCATTACGCCCAACAATCAATTTTATTTCTTCAAAATCATATAAAATACGACCAAGAATGATTCGAAAGGATCATTCATGAAGCCTCGGCGTCAGTGTAACATCAATGGATCAGACACTTCCGTGACGCCTTAGTGACTGATTTAGTATTGTCATATGGTCATCTCGATATCGTCCGATTCTATATACACTCCATTGTATATACTGTGGTAAACACTCTTTTGATTCGTAGATCGATTGGTTTTAAACGTGATTTTATGCGGTGATTTATCAGAAGATACAGATTTCTGATAGTGGAGAGGATAGTGGAAAACGTGCCATCGGCGACGTTTTCATAATGCTTCAATGACTTTTAGGTAAAGCTTCGATATTTCAATTTATTTTTTCTTTCTGATTATATAAATCATAATATAGGTCGTGTAAGTCATATTTTAAAAGCTTTTAAGAGATTTATTAGTAATATATTTGGTTAATTAAATTGATTCCATATCTATTTTGAGCAGTTAATTTTTATTTGACGTATATTTTTATTTTATGTATTTAGCGTACATCTATTATTTTTGTCGTTATTTTTTAATCACATTATCATTGTAAATCTCTTTAATGAAATATTCAATATGAAAATTTTTACTTATTTTTACTTAATTAAATGTACTTATGTTCGTAATATACAGTACTTTTCTCCATAATGCTTCTCATAATGATATTGTTATGGTAATGTTGCGTTTCTGGAACTAAAATTGAAGTCTATATATTTCCATTGAAATTTTTGATAAAGTCTAAGGTTATATCTATTTTTATAAGTTTTTTGCTTATGATGAAAAAAATTATGAAAAACTTATAGATTATTCTAAATTGCATTTTAGAAATAATGCAAAAATGCGACGATTTAAAACTTGAATGAAAAATTATTTAAATAAATAAATAAAAGTCCTCTAATATAATGTAATTAAAATTATATTATGTATAATAAAACATGCATATAAATCTTGAACAGTTTTATTAAAATAAATAAATTCTTATATGCCTTAAATATGTGTTTGTTATATATATATATATATATATTTATATAATTTAAAAATTTAAATGTTATTATTAAACATATAAGATCTTATGAGATTGTATAATCTTATATAAAAATTCAATATAAGAATTTTCAACAGGGCATATTTACTAACAATAAATTCATTTTTATTTTTTTATCTACTTTATATATTTTATATATTGTATCTTCTTTATTTTTTTAAATCTACAGTAAATATATACAATATATTTATCAGTAAATAAATTTTACTGTAATTAAATATGTATCCCATATATCTATGTACTTTTTCTTTACTCATTAATTAATTGTATTACTCAATTAATTGTAATTATAATTAATTCGTAATTAAAAATATCTAAAGAATAACTGACTTTAAAAATTAACATTATAAATAAATATTTTATCCACTATTTTATATATATTTTATTTATTAAAATATACATTAAAATATAATGTAATTCATTCATAAATCAATTAAGGAATTAATACGTTGTCTTATTGGCTTATTAAACTTTTTTATTTATTTGTGTCTCATTTTTAAAAGCATTAATAATTAGCATTTTATATTTTTAATAAAAATATTTATAAATAATATAATTACTTTTCCGGTGGAAATAAATCATTGTAATTGTTAATTGTTAAAGCAACTAAAATCTGAAACAAGAAATAAAAATATCAAAATAACATGAACATTGTTGAATGTATTTCAGTTAAATCATATTTTTAATATTTAAGTATTATGAATTTCTAACTAATTCTAATAATTATTAAAAATACTGAAAAAGTAATGAAAGAATACAAAATATATAATATTACAAATTTATTAATGAAAATTGAATACTGAAATATGAAGAAATTAAATTAGTTAAAATATTTGTTTTGACAAGTAATGAAATGGAAACAAAATATACAATATTTTTACAAAAGTATTAAAAAAATTATCAAACAATTTAAACAAGTATACAATTTAACAAAGTATAACGAAATTCTTAGAACAATCAAAAAGTATTGAAATCTGCTAAGAAATAAAGAAATCTGCAATCTGTTGAAAATCATTGAATTTATAAGAATAATGAAAAAATACTTTGCCAAGTGCTCGTATATAAAATGTGGCAATAATGTATTAAAATAAATGAACAATGTATTGTATTCATTATATTACATTTTTATATACAAATAATTAAAATTAATGAATAATCCAGAAAAATGAAATAATTATTTGTAATTTCATGAAAAATAAAATGTTAAAGTATTGAATTAATTCTACATTAACTACGAAAATGCATTTATAATTTATTTTTTACTAATATCATTTTATAAAGAATATAAAAATTTTATTATCACAGATATTTTAATGAGAGTTTATAAGATGGTAAGAGTTAAAACAATTAGCCATTATTTATTATGTTAGTTTTATAAAATAAGATAAATGATACTAAATAGATCAATTAATATCAATTCCAATGTAATTCAGTAACATTTCGTCCCAATTCACTATTATCAATATTATCAGTATTTCAATTAGAGTTATAGATACAATTAATTATTATATTTTAATTTTTATATTAAAAACTAATTATTGATTTAAAAGTCAGAATTCTTATGTATTAATAATATATGCAATAATATATATAATAATATACATTGACGTGTTACTCTAAAACACGTTATTTGCGATAAATATCATCACATGCCTCGGTAGTCGAAAGGATAAGATGCCTGCCCGATAAGCAGGAGATCCAGATTCGATTCCTGGCTGAGGTGGCATTTTTTCGCAAAATGATTACGAGTTTTTCACTTTTTCACATTTTCATATATATAATAATATAATTATAATTTCTATGTAGATTCTACAATACTAAAACCTTCCAAAGAATTTGATTGTTTACAAAATCGACATGAGTAGATGCAACGAAAGTGGTATATCTCTAGCGACACCGCCTACAATTCATGTTGGGCCTATTGTCACACCAGGATCCAACGAAACTATTTCAATCGTGATACCATTATCAGCGCAACTGACCTCAATGACTAACCAGAAAATTGATAAGAATTATAAAGATTGCAGCAAGGACACAAAACGACCAGTTGTTGCTAATTCTCGAAGGTACAAAAAATATTTAAGAAAATACAAGATTTTTCATATGTTCTTCCATACGTTATAATTTCTAAACTTTTCAACTATGATAATTTTACTATGATAATTTAAACTTTTAATCTATGATAATAATATATAATATACATATAAATCAGGCATATATATGTATATGTGTGCCTGCGTGCGTGTGTGCGTGAAAAGATATTTTTGAAATAATTCAGTTTTATATTGATTCTTACATTTTTTAATAAAAGAATAAAATGATAAATAATAAAAATAATAACATTTTCAAAATTTATAAATTATCCATCCATTAAATTCATTATAATTTCAAAATATTTAACATTACATACATTGAACTATTGCTATTAAATCTTTATTGATACTTAAACTTAGAAAAGTATTTAGGACTTTAGGAAGCTTATTAAATATATCTTATTTTTTTCAGTCTGAGAAATGATAGGACAAAAGGCTGTCCATTTCCCACATGCACACGGTATGGACGAGCATTTTCCAGAGCACATGATTTGAAACGGCACATAGCTCGGCATGCAATGCGTAAAGAAAAATTGCAGCAAGCTGAACAACAAAAAGTTGATATAGAAAACACTGCAAGTGATGCAACTTTAAGAGATGCTCTTTTGCATGACATAGAAGAGAAGGGCGGATATTTCTGTCCACGATGTAAAAAGAGATACAATGATGAGGATAAGCTGAAAGTTCATCTGGCTTCACATGGCAAAGTACGACTTATTCAAAGTTTTTTCAATTCTTAAATTTTATATACTTTTTAATTGCGAATTATATCAATATATAATATTGATATAATAAACAGTACAATTGAACAAGTAATGGATCGTGCGTATGAGTGAGTGCGCCATGTATGCGTGTAAATGTGCATGAGTGAATGCATATGAGCGTTCGCGCGTGGTATATGTGTATTTATGTACTAGTCAAACAAAATTATTGCAGATAAATCAAAATTTCACATAAGTATATTTCAAATAAGCATAATTCTGAAAAATGATCGTATTTTAAAACTTTTTTTTTCATTAAAAGTAAAATTTATATTTTAGGGTGCATTTGCTAAATTTTTGCTAAATTATTCTCCTCTTTTTTGTCATCTTTTCCAAAACAAGAATTATGTTTTTAAAATTGTATAATTTGATATATCCTATAGGATAAAATAAATTTGTTTCTCGTGATAACTAGTGTAAAATATGGATTTTTCATCGCAAAGTAAAAAAAAGAAGAATTTGACTTGCGCGCGTATGTCTATATGTGTATATATATATATATATATATATACTTTATTACATTATTTTTATTATTTATCTAGATAACATCAAAAAACAATCACTTAAAACCTGAGGAACATGCTAGGAATATGCTGCAGAATCAAATGATCATGGATAAATCATCAACAACAAAAAATCTTGCTGAGGACGACTTTCTTTTAGAAGAAATGCTATTGCTAAAGAAGGATCCTCGAAGATCAAATAAGAATGATTCAAAGATTAGGTGCGATTATTGTTCAAAAACTTTCAAAACTAAGTGGACTCTGAGCTCGCATGTGGCCGCTCACGAAGGCCGTTTTCAGTTTGATTGTGGTCAATGTGGTAAGAAATTTGTTAGAAAGAGCCATTATGAAGGACATATGCGTTCTCACGAAGCCGCCAGGCCGTATACTTGCGAACAATGTGGCAAAACATTCAAAGAGCTCAAACATCGTCGCGAACATACCAAGAGAAAACATCCGAGTAATCAGAGCGCAATACAGAATTTATTAGATAGTATTGGACCATGCGCACCTGAAGAGACGAATATTGATCAGGCTAAATTCACTTTGCTAATGCCGGTAAATTTTGGCATATAAAAATTGAAGACATTTTTGCCTAAAAAGATTATTATGGATCCTTTATATTCAACTAAGAATTTGATTTCTTAGGAACCTTCGAATTGATGGAATCCAGATTTCTTAGAACGTTGCAGCCTTGGAACATTGGACTTTTGGAACTTTACGTTTTTGGTATTTTGGATGCATAGGAACTCGGATTCTCGGAATTTTGGTTATATAGAAGATGGAATTCTTGAAACTTTGAATACTTGGAAAATAGAATCCTTATCGTGGATTTTTGAAATTATGAAAGAATCTGAAATGGAAAAGTTTAAATTTTTTGGAAATAAAACATTTCAATAATTTAAAAATATAAAGTTAATAAAGTCTTGGATTAATGTTTTAAATTTTTAAATCCTTTAGTGTGTAAATTCTTTTGGCTCTTTAGAATTCTGATCTGAGAAAAAATGGAATGTGTATTTTGGAGTTCTCACAATTTTATTTTCTCAACAATCAAAAAGTAATGTCTGAACGACAATTTTTTTCAAATTGGATAAAAAATGAGAACTTAATTGATTTTATTAATTAAAAACTACGTTAATATTGTTCTTAATTCAATTTATTATTCCATACTTTATAAAAAAATAAATAAATCTTGAATCCAGTAAAATTATCTTATAATGCTAAAATAATGATATTTTTCATATGAATTCCCGAAACAGATTATTATCATTTATCTTAAAACTCCTGTTGATTGCAGCGATCTTAAATTATAACGTTAAAAACAAGAAAAAACAATAAAAATTTGTGCAAAATAAAATAGAAATATGTTCCATTAAAATAACGTAATTGATAAAGCAAACTTGTTAATTATATCGAACATTCTTTTGCACGATAAATAATATCTAGAATTGTATTCTTGATTGTAGTTTTTAATTATAGGCACAATTCAACTTTGGATATATTGATTATTGGAGCAAAAAA